ACACACACTCACATCGTCACAGCACACACTCACACACACTCACACACACTCACACACGCTCACACACGCTCACACACACTCACACACACTCACATCGTCACAGCACACACTCACACACACACACTCACACACACTCACACACGCTCACATCGTCACAGCACACACTCACACACACTAACACACGCTCACACACACTCACACACACTCACACACACTCACATCGTCACAGCACACACTCACACACACTCACACACACTCACATCATCACAGCACACACTCACACACACTCACATCGTCACAGCACACTCACACACACTCACACACACTCACATCGTCACAGCACACACTCACACACACTCACACACACTCACATCGTCACAGCACACACTCACACACACTCACACACACTCACATCGTCACACCACACACTCACACACACTCACACACGCTCACATCGTCACAGCACACACTCACACACACTCACACACACACATGCGGCGTCGTCACAATGATTTACTCGGCTCTGTTTAACGGGCGTCATTGCATGCGACGGTACAGATGCGTATTCACGGCAGATCTTTTTGCTACAATAATAACAAAATAACAATAACAAAAGTAACAATAATAACAATATCCCAACCACAGTACGTGAACAACACTGTGGGCTGCCGCACGGTGAGAACGAACCGTACACACACGAACATTCCGTTTCTCATTCTGCCCTCACGCTGCCCCCCCATCCCCAACCGCCCCCCCACCACCCCCCCATCTCCCCCAGCCCCCCCACCACCCCCCCATCTCCCACCGCCCCCCCCACCACCCCCCCCATCTCCCACTGCCCCCCCCCACCGCCCCTCCATCTCCCACCGCCCCCCCACCACCCCCCCATCTCCCACTGCCCCCCCCACCGCCCCCCACGTTTGGGGTCTCGTGACTCCGCCTGCGACTGTCCGACCCCCGGCTGACGGCAGTCGCGATGCGCCGATAAGTCGGACGGCGACATCGAACCTCTCCCGAGCGCAGCGAGCCCACGTCTCCCTCGGGTTGAAGTGACACGAATGGACAACCTTCGACGCCGCGCGTCACGTCACGCTGTGCGGCTCTTTGAAAGAAGGGCATAGAGAGAGAGAGAGATATATAAAAGAAATTATAATCGGCGACGTTTCAGGCAATGGCCCTCATTCATAGCACATCGTTTACGGTTAGCCACGTAAGCTCCCGTGACCACTCCATCCGCGCACGTCACACAAAAAAACAAAGATCCCCTAACCCTGTAGGAGCAAGTGCTGTTAACGAGCACCTATGAAGGCCGGAACGGCACACGAGGGGGTGGGTGGCCAGCACCACGCTCGCCCGCCTTTGTCTCTCTGGTGGCGATGGTTACACACCGCACCAGGTACTCATTTGAGGCTGAGCCGACCTAGGGGAGACCCAGAACCGGTTCAAATAATCGTCACTGGTGTTGGCCGTGAGCGGGAATCGAACCCGGGTCGCAAGGTTCAGAGCGCA